CATGATTAAAAAATAATTTTTTTTTTTTTTTGCATAATATGTTTATTAAAACACTATGGTTGCGAAAAAGCCCGTAGCATGACCTGTAGAGTGTAAGGCTCACGATAGAAACCGTTGCTATGTGTGTATTGTACACTGAGAGTGAAAATGCGCCTAGCTTCGGTCCGAAAATTTCGAAAAATCGAAAATTTCCGGCATGGTTACGTTCATTGATAGTCCCAAAAACCGTACAAGATTGTCATGTTCCCCGATAACAAACATTAAACAAACATAATATATAGCTATGAAGACGCACCGTAATGATATAGCCATATACTTAAATCACAATCGTCGTAAACACGCCGTCTTGCACCTGTACGCTTCTATCAATGAGACCCCTACCGTTCCTACACTTGCTACACGCTGGCACGCTGAAAATTAGTCCTTACGTTTGGGGAATATCATCGCTGAATGATTCCAGTCTCAATGTCGTGAAACTGGCAGGACCATCTACATTTGTATTTCGCTATCATCCCACACGTAAAAAGCGTTGATTTTTTCTCTAAATGTCAGCCCGCTTCAGTATTAGTTAGTAGAGTTTCCATCTCTAATGGCACTATCATCGCACGCAGTCCTACTTCTCTCTCCTCCTAACGTCTCCTTAAATCGCATTATTATATTATATTACATATTTATTATATCATTATGTTAATTTTTATTCGTTGACACAGGCAATACACGCAGCAGTATTGAGTCGTTTGGGTTTACAGTCGAGAAAAAAGAAAAGGAGCTCCTGACATCACGACAAAGCTTTCGTTATCAAAATTACGTCAAACATAATAAACCTAGAGTCTCCCATATTCGTTCAGATACATTCAATCTGTAAAATCCTATCATAGTTAAAGAGGGCTATTTGAAAGGTGCGTTTATGCGTATAAATAGAGAAAATTAAGTGTGCTTTACGCTAACAACCGCCGCTTCATCGTCTAGCAAGAGATTCCCTAGCTAACCTAAGATCCGAACTTGAAGCCGGTTTAGCGCTTAATTTCGCTTACGGTTTAGGATGGGCATATCGAAATGAAATTCGAAAAATTCTCCCATAGGCCTGGAATCGGATAGCGCATAGGGATCAAATTGAGATCGTGGACGATTGCCCAAATAGTTCCAATCGAATAAATGTACACATTTAATCAAGATTAAGTTATTTATGCACACATTTTGCTCATTCATTTAATGATCAGTGACCCACTGGCTGAAAATATTATGGCAGGACTCGCGTGGGCATAAGTGTTAATATCCACTAACATAAATCGGTCGCTACGATGCAGTTGCCTGTGCAGTCCGCGTCCGATATGTTCCTCGTCGATGGCACTACAGTTCCTGTCAATTCATACGGTCAATGACGTTCTTCTTCCTTTATGATATTGAATTTCATAGAGGAAGCATATAATATCGGCTGAATAGACCATATCCTGGTGAAGCTTTGATGACGCCAACACGTTGACGTCAGAGCGTTCGATCAACAAGATGCAACTTGCTGTTTCAGGTAAAATCCGTTTAGCTTTAGAATGTGCATTTCATGCATTACAATGCAGTCTGGGATTTGTTTCTGCAGTAACGTTTCCCGATGGTACCGGGCGTGAAGGGCAACATATTTATTATATAGTCCGGGATCTCGAAGGCTCGTAAATCAACCACTGCGTTGAAAAATGCTACAGCTTAGTAGTTCCGTCATAAAATACATTTTATTCATTGCTATAGTGGCCTATTGTGTGTATTTCCGTATACTTTTTGTAATGGTTTCGTGCTAAAGAGACTAATTTACCAACGAGCGTAAAAAGAAAAAACAAGCGTCCGTGTTTAATAGATAGAAGTTCTCGTGAGTTTTAAACAAAGGTGTAAGTGAATCCCAAACTGGATGTTCCGTTGCTGGAAGTGATAGTTTGATCATGTATATATTTCTTTGTTTGTCGTCACTGAAATTTTGTGTGGCTATGCAGTGCTAGGCTTTACTCGATTAAGATCATTTTTTCACACAATATTTTTGAAAATCAATTTTTGTGTGCATTTTTAAATTCGATGTTGTTACATTGTCACAATGATCCATCCATAAAGGCAACAGATAGTCACTTTACACACATGCAAATATGACATCTACTAACAGTGGCAATAATGCTGCTTTTTGATTATTGTTTTAGGTAGATTCACTTCTGCTCACAAGTTCTGTTGGTCTTCCTCGATCCTCATAAAAGGTTATGTTTTTACGGTATTACCTTTGTCTAGCACCATGTAACTACATTTTTCGGCTATATCCTCACAACTCATTGTCCCCACGATGTTAGACTCTAGCAAAAAAAACTGGCTGAAGCTGTACTAATTGATAGATAATGTTTTAAGGAGAAAGAAACCCAGAAGCCTACTAGGTCTGCTGAACGCAATGGAATGAGTTCACTCTCTTTCTCTCCTGGCAGGAGTTGATCCTGATGCTTCGTCAAGCATGGCTTTCCGGTCGTCTGCGTCAGCGAACAGCTTATTTATTCTTCTACTTTTTTAGAGGGGAGCTGTTTTAGCGGGTAACCAACTTGGGCCACACAGGCCGCAGAGCTAGAGACCCACACAACCTATCCAGATACGTATGTAATTACCAATTATCATGTCTCATCATGTGCAAATATGAGCAGATGTGAAACATGAATAGACCCGAAACTAGAAAATCGGATCTATATAATGCATGCTTCTTTTAAATACACAAAGTAATGCATTGACACCCATATTGTAATGGAAACAACGCATTGTTCCAGTTTCTAGGAAATTACAGCTTAAGAATAGGTTTATACTATATTTTAAAAGTTAACTCGCTTAATAAACTGTGGAAACAAGGGGTACATGGCAATTTAGATTTGAAGGCATACGTAAACAAACTTTATGCCAGGAGCCAACCTCCAACAATACTTTAGGGCAATATGAGACGTGATACTTATATAGCTATACATTGAAATTTGAAGTAGCTCTTGGGCCATGTAGTTGAAACTGCAGGACAGAGGAAAATTAATTCGTACACGTAAGGCAAAGCGAACTTACGCTAGGAAGTTTTGCCGTTCTTTCTGGCAACCTTGAAAGTGTTTTTGTGCTGTTTGTTTAACCGTATTTTGATTAATACCTGAGATTCCATTTTCAACAACAAAATATAACTTAATTCACTTAGAGCACGTACTTCAATCTAAATAAGGTGCCTTTGCGTGCTTCCTTGAGCTTGAGGGAAGTACGCTAAGTTTTGCAATGGATATTTTTTCTTCTGTTTCGGTTAACCGTATTTTCAATTGATCCATGTACTTATATGAATTTTTTTAGGGTAGACAAATAAAGGTTTACGAGTGTATTCTTTGCATTCTGAATCCGTTAAGAATGGATTAGGATCGCTATTTTTATTTTCCCTGTAAAACTTTTTCTTTTCATCTACCTTCTAATAATAATGGTTCGTATAGTATTTCCTTGTTTCGTTTCTTCTACTCTTTGGAAATGTACAAAGGAAATTTGAGTAGACTGCTTGTTAGGCTGCTGGGACAACCTTTATACTCAAGACCTGTGTCTAATTTGACGAGTTCGTTGTTTCTGGGCGGAAGATAAAAAAAAATCCCTAGACATCGCGCCATATCATCCTAACCTTGAACCTTGCCTTCGGTCCCAAAAAGTAAGCCGAGAGGAACCGATCACTGATTAAGTGTAAACTACAAAGCTGGTGTTGTCCACTTTCTAGTATTTCTTGCTGGTTAAACTTACCTTCCACGCAAAAGATACCCGCTCTGATTTGAACTAATCTCATATAAAGAAGCATTAATAAACTGTAACAAAAAGTCTTGTTAAAACTATATGAAACACGACTTTCATTTGCCGTCCAGGCTTAAGCAAGCACCAAGTTCCCTGTTCGATGATTTTAAAGGGCCAAAAAATAAACAGCCTCTATTGGATGTTGTTGACAAACGTTTCTCTCATCAAGATATCATATAGAACGATCACGATATCGTAGCTAATGACTTTAATGAGTTGACTTAAACAAAAAAAATGATGGTTTTTCCAATCTTCAATAACTAGCGTAATTAGAAATCTAGCAATCTCTGAGTTTGTATTAGTCGACCTTTTACTAAAATCTCGCCAATATTACATTAGAAATTACACACAGGTTGTTCTGATCGGTTACTTGTCGGAAGTTTTCATTTTAGCTTAGTAATGCCAAATTGCAGTAACTTTTCCTATAGTTCATTGTTTGTTTTGTAGCAACGGTCACATTTCAATTCCTTCTCTGTCCTTTATGCACAATTCATTCACTCGAAGAACGTTCTTCCCCAACTTCTTAGTACTGGGACAGGCTTTTATGGGTCAACGTTAAAGAGCAGCACCCTTTCCAATGCATTGATTAGCTGTGCTCGCGTTGCCAAACCCAGGAAACCTAGCAACAGCATACTTACGCTTCTTTGATATAACTTTGAACTTCACTAATCATTCTCCTTTACCTTCTACTGATTTGATTGCTTTGGCAAATCGTCATCGATGTGAAACACAGGGGAATATTCACCCAAGAAAACGTGTACACGTCGAGAAATTACTCAAAATGTTTATACGCTGCCTTTTGCACTCCTCTGCTTGTCTCATTTTGCCCCACCCAGTCTATTGTTTCAACGACCTGTGGTACTTATAATCCAGGACAAAGCCGGGAAACTTTTTCAGCAAATTAACATAAGCAGCCATCAAATTCATCAGACATTAGCAATCGATTTCCGTCCCCGCACCGAGCTTAACTCTATTTACAGTCTAAACAAAAGATTTACCCCAGCAGACGACGGAAAAGAAGCGCTGGATAAACGCAGCTGTAAAGATCATCACCGCACGCCATGAACAGAGGCGCTTAGGAAGAAAGACCGTGTGCAACGTTTCTAACGCGAGTCGCTTTCACTTGGAGAATAGTCTGGAAGAAACACGAAGTAAAGGAGAACAAGGGAAACAAAAAGTAAAGATCGTGCGAATACCACTGCAGGTCCTGTATACACTATATATATATATATATATATATATATATAACAGTGTAACTAAAACGACATTTTAGTGTGAATATGCTGTGGCTAGTAGAGTACTCCGAGGACCTGGCGCCGCTGGTCAGCACCACTTGCTACAGACGCAAAAAGTTGGTGAATAGGACGGGAAAAGATCGCGGCGTTCGGTGGACGCTAGAAAAGAAAGATCGTAAATGAAAGGAAAGCCCGCGGCTTGAGTCTGGTCAGTGCTTACCGACTGAGCCACCCGAGTCTACCGGAGACTTGCCAGAGGCTTTCAAATGAGCAAAGAGCTGTTTTTACTCAGGCTTCCGGCAGGCGGCATCGTGTCAGTACCCGTAATAGTCAGTGTCTCTTGTGGTTCAACCAATGGACTCTTTCTTTTTGCTCTATTGGGAAGGAGGCGTGGCGCTGTCGTGTTTCCTTGCTGCACCTAAGACGAATCGAGTTCTACCATTTGTTGTCCCGTTTTTGACATCACAGCGCTATGAATTCTCCATAGACGAACACTGAGTAAATAAACAAATGCTACTGATTCGTGATACTGTAATACGCAAGTCGGTCCAGTTCTTGGTAGAAGAACGTGGTCCATAGTTGGTCCTGCTGACCCGTTTGTCAGGTAGACTGCGTGAAAAGTTTTTATTGATTGTAATTCTGTTTGATTTAAAAACATAAATTACGTGACATGAACTGTGCGCAAGTTACTATCCTTCTCACCAACGAATGAGTTGACGTTCAAAAAATTTTAGCTTGAGGAAAGAGACTTCGCAAAAAATTTTTACGTGCCTATTACTTATGATAGTTACCGTATAACCTGGTAGGTGTCCCAATTGTCTATTTTTACCTAGAGAAATGGGCTGTTGGCCCCTGTTAAATATACTTAAATGTAATTGCGTTGGACTAATTTTCGACGCAAGCTGAACCAAAACTGTTTGGCAAATCTGAAACGATTTACAGCCATTTTTCCTATAGTTAATGACGGAGCTGCAATGCCTGATCTTGCGAATGCTTTATATATCTTCAATGTATTATGTGTTTATGTAGCTATATCGTTAGTAATGCTAATATGAATTTGCGAAAATGAATCACTTACGCGTGGATAAGCTACGAGAATAAACCATGGTGTTCTTCGTTCAACGATCGGCACTCAATGTTACTTGTAGAAAGGGGCAGCACCCCCGAAATTTTACTTTCAGAAACTTCACGTCCGATCTCCAATGACTCAGCCTAACGCCCTGACGCCTAACGCTATTGACAACCATCAGCAATAAAGAAAAAGGTAAATTACACACGATTGGTTTGATAACCATTTTCTATCATTGTTTCGTATTAACCGTTCATAACTTTTCTACTATTTGTCCAGCCGATATTGTACTGCTTACTTGGCACTCTTCAAAGCAACCGGGCCCTTCCCAACACATTATGTTCCTTGGAACCATTCGCATAGCTAAAAATACTTGAAGATTCTGAGGTAACTCATACCGGCTATGGGAATAAACTCAGTTGTACGCTGACACAGTGACCTGTATTGAAGTGTTCGTCTATGTATCAGTGTGTTTGTGTATTACCTAACCTGTTTACCCGTTTCTATCGCTTGAGGGGTCTTCGATAAATATAGTACTGGCTGTATATATATAGTATAGGCTGCCAATCATTCTCGGACTTCGCTGTGCTCAACGACAAATTGAATCCATCGACGAATGAAGTCGAACGGACGGTGGTTCCGACATATTTAATAAAGTCGTTCGCACATCAACAAGAGCATCAATAGCAACTGTAGTGATATGTGCGGTGCGGAACATATCTTGTTGACACGCTCAATGAGTGGTGCGCGAAACGCAAGGTCGATCAACGCCTAGCGTATCGTAAGGGCCACTGATAAAAGCTATCGCCGTAAGACACGTTAAGCCATCATCGGTCGTGGCGTGTTATAGATCAGCTGCCGGCTGGCGGCCGCAGCGTCTTTGAGCCGTAATCGAGCGCACCCTGAGGCTCCTCTTTCTTCTCTTTCCATTCAGTGGTGAGGGGTAAAAGAAGTGGTTGTTAAGAACGGCAACGTTGGTGCCGCTAACAACGGCTGCAGCGGTGACGGTAACTGAAATAGGGGAGTCTTCAGCTGCCTACATCTGCCGGATTTTGGATTAAGAACGTCATGCCAGCCACAGGAGACACTTCGACGTTGGCTGTCACTACGCTTGCTGTTGGTAAGTGGCGAAAACTAGTAAGGAGTATGTGGCCTTAAGTATATGGCATGTTCGACTGTTGAGAATATATGGGTCCATTATATGTATCCACACAAAGCTTCATTAGAAGAGAGCACTTTTCGAGTTAGATATTCAAAGGTATATCGTTGCTAAGCGCAACAGATAGCTTGTGTTTGAACCATAATAAGCTGTTTAGAAATCGGAGAAAATATAAACATATATACCAACCAACTATGAAAGCTGCCGATATTTACCTAAGTGCCTATTGAAATTCGTGCGTGTAAACACTTGCTTGAAGATATTGCTGAAAGAGCCATAATTTGCCAGTTGGATAACAATGGCTGAAGTGACTTTTGACCGGCAGTGTTTCTAAGTAGAACGCACCCTATATAATAATTTGCGTCGACGTGTGCTCCAGTTTAAGGCTCTCTAATGGCCTAATCGAATCGGTCAGCTGAACTGAGCCCTAGTCTTTCACATAGGCTACGTTCAACTATAATTGCTTTTAAGTACTTTGGTAAAATGTAACATAATCGCAGCCTTTTGCTGGATGGTTAACTGCATCAGAGTCTTTGTCTTTGTTTGTCATTGTTGCTGTCGATATCTGTTTATGTTTAGTTTAGATATCACCAGTGGGCGCCAGTACGGTCAACAAATATGTAAAAGGTATACCAATGTATGCGTACGAGAATAAATACTATTTGGCATCAAAGCGTATCGGCAAAAGGACGCAACCTAGGCGTTCCTTCTCGTCTGAAGCAACTTATCTAGAAAACCTCTCTTGAATCTGAATGAGCTAGCCTCAAGTGTACTCAAGTTCCTGTTGAAGACTTATCGTGCTAGACGCATGTCGATTTCTAGCAACAATACTATATATATATATATGTCCGAAATACAATTTAGCTAAATCTTCTCCCACCAAATTCCGTCCGACCCGGTCAACCTATCTATAGGTAGATCTAAAGGTTATTGTAGCCAAATAAAATACCCTGAAGTTCAAGTGACCCTTGTATACTGTGTGTCCGCACAACACAACAAGTAACATCATTGTAAGCGGCTGACAACACACAATATTCCATATTATGGTTAGCTATTGCCGGCGATTTTCCTTATTGGCATTCTGTTTGTTTCCTACCCAGTATTTTCGTCTTTCTCAGCCGGCTGTTGTTATCGTCTGCGATATAAGTTTACATGGACATCATTTTACATAGACCGGGTTTCAAGCGCGTCGCAGACGCAATGATTCTCTGTGATTAAACAAAATTTTACTTGACAATTTGCTATTTCTGATTCGTTGCTCTTGGCTGCCTGTTGATTTAATTTTTAGACTATAACAAACATCCATACCCAGCTGCCTTTTACGTGATAATACCTACTCGTTGCTTTTACGTCTACGATTGATATTGTGACAACAATGACCACAGGGGCATTGTTTGCCTCTCAGTTCTGTTCGCTATTCTCTTAAGTGGAGACATTCGCAGATTTCAATCTAGAAACTCATTCAGTTTCAGCGCACGAAGCAAAGGCGCGTCACGCTTCAGACCGATATATATATATCTATGTTGGAAATCCATAATTATTCGTTTACCAGCATTTTTATTTTTGCATATGAAGATATGACGTAAACAAGATGGACGGATGGTTGCAGGCATCTAATGGACATGATCGTCGTGCATTTTCTTAATATATAATATCAAAACGTCGACTACGCCTTTTAGAATTATGAAGGCCGTTTATGAAGGATTATAGTAGTGAAATGGAGACTTTCTCTACATATACATATACGGAATTAAACTGACGGATCTCAACCATTTTGAATCTTTGGTTACTGCGGATCTTGTGTAGGTTTAAAACGTTGTATTTCAATAGAATTATAAGATTCATACCGCAGTCTTTATATATTAATTGCATATGACATGTACCAGTACAACAATGTAAAGAACAGAGATTATACAATCCACTACATAGACGCGGCGTTCATTATGTGCGAAACTTTCTGATAGTTTTTCGCTGAAAGAGGCAAAACGTCAGACAGACATCCGAATACAAAAGATCTTAACCGAAACCAAGTTCGATCAATCGGATGTATCCGCGCATACATATATATAGGACGAACCTCGTACATAGGGAAAAACTCAATGAGAGGAGATCGTTCTTTTGTTTTCGTAAGAGCCTCAATGGTTTCGCGTGCGAGCGGCCGTCCATTGAAGTGATGGGGCGGAATGCATGTAGTAATGTAAGTTAGTGTAGTTGCTGATTGCAGAATATGTCCTAGTGAAATAGCCGTTTCAAATATGGGCAAAGGATCGACCCATCCAGCTTGAAACGACCTCTAAGCACAGATTTAAGTTGTCTGCCCCGTTGCATTGCAATAGCGGCAATAGTGACCACCTTGATGAAATTCGCAATGACCTCTTCCCAAAAAGCATTATCGTATTGATAGTATTCAATTTATACTGAAGACGTTTAAATTCTTTATATAGAATTAAATATGTATATAAATGAAAAATTTGAGACAGCTTATTCACCTCTATGGTTGTCTGTAGAAAAATCTGATAGAATCGTCGAACACGTTAGTTATTTTGAGGAGAAATATTTTTTAATCGAACCAAATTAAAGTGAACAGGTGTTCCTTATGCAGGGGCAAATCCGAATCCTAAACGAGGTTGGTATTCAACGATTTTTTATCTTCACCAAGGTATAAGCCTGCATACCAGGCGACAGTAGAAAAGAACGCTATGTATTTCCATCAGATATGTTCTACTTTTTAGCTTCGGCTCTAACAATTGTCAACAATCGAAAAGGCTTTCTATCCACTAAGCAAACAAATACGGCTCGATATAAAGTTCATCATTCTAATAGCTCCATGTATTTTATGTTAAATATCATTTTGTTACCATCCAAAAGTCTCCTGTACAGCTAGTGAAGATCAAACAAATAGCGTGCCGCGTATTTCTATTTCAGTCGGCGGAATTGGTGCTTGAAGCCTGCTTGAAAAAAACGCATGAGCTCATAAAAAAAATAATGTTCTAATTGATTTCTCACCGATCATGTATGGCGTAAAAAGCAAATATTTCAATTTTTATGTTTTATATTTACGTTCAACATCGTTTCAAAGCAGCCACCTCAGTGTCTACCTTCGTGCTAATCTTGTGCATGTTCGGCTGGGTAATCTAGAAATAAATAGTCATAACACTAGTGACAGACCTCTGTCGACACGACCAAGTTGCCATAGTGCTTAAATACTATAGAACGGCTTGATTTCTATTCGAAAGGTAATGTTTCAAGTAGAAAATGTACATCGATGTAAAACTCATGTCGCTAATACTCTCCCATGTATTTGATGTAAACAAACCGACCATAGGAAGGCATGGGCTTGCATCGATCCGAGCAGACGAAAGATTACGCATCCGTGTCAATAAACACTAACGACTTCCAGTAAACAGAGAGAGAGAGAGAGAGAAAAAAAAAAAGGAGTGCCTACTTCAAATGTTTAGCACGGTACAAGGGCGCAACGATGAACAGAAGAGAACGGACTGGGTGAAATTGCGATCGGGGGCACGATTTTTGATGTAACTACAGCGCAGTCTGGCAAACTTGAGCAATAGCGTCTTGACCACTTTGTGCATTGCAAAACTGTTAGCGATATGGGAGGCAATTGATGACATGCCGGTACTTACTTGTTAACAATATTCGACTTGTTAACCAATGTTGGACAAGGCTACGGTTAAAACTGTGGAAAATTGCCAAGCCAGGACGAACTGTTTGTCGGCGTGGGGTCGTGACCCCCCAAACTGGTGGTAGACTGTGAACACGACGACGAAATGCATTTCATAACGCAAGCAATTATATTTGATTAAAAAATTACGAGACTACCAGTGCTAAGCTGGCGCAGCCATTACTGCCAGCTGATGTACGTTAAGATTAATAGTCTCAGACAGTAACAGCATAATTGCGCCGATGACGTAGCAATTTTGTCTGGTTTTTTACCTGAAATTAACGAACATACATGACATGCTCAAAGGCACATTACCAATGCAAGTTGCTCTACGTATACGCTAAAAGTACGCGGTGGCGGCGGCGGCGGCGATACATCTTCTAATAAGCTATTGAATCGAGTTTTCATTTTATAGCATTTTTATAGCAAATTTTACGGCAAGCCACCCAGTGAGACGCGCGCAGCTTTTCATGTCAATAGAGGATTATCTACCGTGCATTCGCGGGACGTATCAAGGCAGAAAGGTCGCGTCTTCGTTACGATGTAGCTTATGAGCATTCTGTTAGCACCATATAATAACACTGGATAGTGTACCTTATCAAAAGGTCGTTATGCTAACTTAGTTGGAGTTTTTATTTCTAGATTTTTTCGGGGCTAAATGAATCTTGTTACCGAAGTTTTTTGTCACCTGCTAAAGTAGACACGCGCAGCATTCGAAAAGTTCCAGACATAAAAAGGTTCCTGGTGTTACGAGGTGGGAAATCTCGCAGTTGGGTGTAATAAGATAATTTGTGTTACTGATTATATCGTGTAAATTTCACATTGGATGGATTGAGCATTTAACGTGCTTGCTTGCTTTCTTTCTTTCTTTCTGTTAATCCGTAATACTCTAGTGAGATTAGTATTCGTACAAACGTATCGAGAGCGAATCCCTACGATACATTTACCTCAAATACGCCAATGCCAATTACCAAAAATACGTAATTGCCATTGAAGAGCATTTTATCAAACATTTTCACGATACACTGTCTCGACAACGCGTTCGTCGGAAGCTCGCCAAAGACATTGTTCACAAATTTTTTTTTGGGTTTCGAGATAATCCGTGGCTGCGTACGTCACTATAGGACGCCTAATTTTGGCGTCAATGTTTGTGGTTTAAACGTGTTACGTCTGCTGAGGTTCACTGAACGTAAACAGATGTACTGCCAATGTAAATTTTACGGTTTGAATTAAAGTCACTCTAGCTAGTAAGTAGTTCGATAGTTAAGTGCCATGTTTGGCT